GCGGGCCTCTCGTGATCCTGCTGCTGCCCGTGCTGGAGACCGTCTTCGAGCGCACCAGCGAGATACGGCTTGTGGAGTTGTCGCAGCGCGACAGCCCGCTCCTCCGCCAGTTGGCGCTCACCGCGCCCGGCACCTACCAGCACAGCGTGACCGTGGGGGTGCTCTCCGAGTCCGCCGCCGACGCCATCGGGGCCAACTCGACCTTCTGCGCGACGGCCGCCCTCTACCACGACATCGGCAAGCTGAACCGGGCGGGGTACTTCATCGAGAACATACGCGGTGAATCTCCCCACGATCTCCTTCCCCCGGAAAAGAGCGCGGACATCATCCGCAGGCACGTGAGCGAGGGAATCGAGGCCGCCGAGCGCCTGAACCTCCCGAAGGACATCGTGGACGTGATCCCGCAACACCACGGGACCCGCCTCATCCGTGTCTTCTACGAGAAAGCCCGGACCCTGGCCGCACAAAACGGTTCCGAACCCGACGAGAGCCTCTTCCGCTACGCCGGCCCCCGCCCGCAGACCCGCGAGACAGCGATCATCATGATGGCAGACAGCATCGAGGCCGCCGCCCGCAGCCTGAGGAACCCGACCGGGGCCGAATTCGAGGAGGTGATCGATCGCATCATGAGCGCCATCGTCGAGGACGATCAACTGGTCGAATGCGATCTGACGCTCGGCGATATGGCCCGCATCCGCGAGAGCTTCCTTTCGAGCCTGCAGGGGATCCATCACGAGCGGGTGCCCTACCCGGGGTTCGACTTCGGGAGACGGCAGCGTGCGGGAACTCCGGCCCCCGGTTCGGCATTGCCCGCTGCCGGCGGAGGGCCCCGGTCCGGCGCATCGCTCTCATGACGTCCTGCCCGGCCGCCGCGTTTCCAGCTTCGTCGCCCACCACCGTACGGAACCCGTGAACCCTCCCGCGCGGTTCGCCGTGCAGAACCGCCAGCGCCGTTTCGCCGTGGACCCGCGGGAGCTTTCCGCCTTCCTCGAACGAATCGCCGCGGACGTGGCGCCGGGGGACCATCGCACGGCTACCCTCCGGATCGTCTCGGACCGGAAGATCCGGGAACTGAATCGCCGCTTCCGCGACCAGGATCGCCCGACGGACGTGCTCGCCTTTCCGGCGGATCCCGTGCCTTCGGAGTTCCTGCCCGAGGAAGAGGCGGAGTACCTCGGGGACCTGGTGGTCTCCGCGGACACCGCCGCGCGTCAGGCGCAGGAAGTGGGCGTCGGACTCGACGACGAAATCCGCGTCCTCGCGGTTCACGGCTACCTGCACCTCCTCGGATACGACCACGAGCAGGACCGCGGCGAGATGGAGAGACTCGAGCGCGTGCTTCGATTACGGCACGGACTGCTCCGTAATTAGCAGCCTGTGAACAAAGTGACGCGGCCCGGTTCTCCCGGTGGGGGCTCGAGCGGCGATCCATCCCGGCTGAACCGCCCTCCCACCGGGAGAACCGGCGCCCTCGGCGCTCACGCCACCCTGTCCACCGGCTGCTGACCCATGGTCCTCTGGTTCGCGCTCCTGCTGGTCGCCGGCCTCCTCGTCGTTCTCTTCGCCCTTTTCGAGATCGCGTTCTTCGCGTCGAGCCCCACTCGCGGTCCGGGCTCTCGGCGAAAGCGTCGAAGAAGCGCGCACGCTGCGGGAACGCCTGGCGGACCCGCTGGTGGTGCTCATCCCGGCTCGTTTCGGTCTCCTGACGGCCGGCGCGCTCCTCGGCTTCGTGCTCGATCGAATGGGTTTCGGCGCCACCGGCCTCCTGTGGACCTTCGGTGTCTTCGTCCCGGCGTGGTTCATCCTCCGGGAACTGGTTCCTGCCGCCATCCTGCTGCGCGACCCGGAAGACGTGCTGCTTCCGCTCCTGCCCTGGTTCGGCCGCTGGGAACGGCTCGTCCGCCCCTTCGCCGAGCCGTTCCGCAACCTCCTGCGCCGCGGTTTCCCGCTCCCCTCGGAGCCGGACGACGAAGCTTCGGACGAGGAGGTGGAGGCCTTTCTCGAAACCGGCGAGGAAGAGGGGATCCTCGAAGAAGAAGAGGCGGCGATGGTGCGCGGCGTTCTCGAGCTGGACGAAATGCTGGTGCGCGAGGTGATGACGCCGCGGCCGAACGTCGTCTCGGTGTCCGACGAGGCCCCGCGGCAGGAGGTCGAGCGTCTCATCGCCGACAGCCGGCACCACCGGATTCCGGTCTTCGGCGCCGCCGACCAGGTGGTGGGGGTGGTGGATGCGGTGGACCTGATCGGCGTGCCCGGAGACCGCCAGGGACTCGCTCCGCTGCTGCGGGACGTGCCCGTGGTGCCGGAGACCAAACGGGTGGACGAAATGCTGCGCGAGTTCAAGCTCTCCAAGCAGACGTTCGCGGTGGTGGTGGACGAACACGCCAGCGTTTCCGGCATCGTGACACTTCGTGACATCTCGGAGGAGATCGTGGGTGAGGTCCACGAGGAGGACGAGCCGCTGGAAGAGGATCTGGTGCGCGAGGCGGAAGGCGTCTACCGGGTTCGCGGCGGGGCGGAACTCGATGAGATTTCACGGGTGACGGGGCTGCTGCTCCCCGACTCCCTGAATGGCGCCGCCTTCGACACCATCTCGGGTTTCGCGCTCGCGGCCTTCCGGAAGATTCCGGCGCCCGGCGAAGCGATCGAGCACGACGGCCTCCGCATCGAGATCCTCGAGGCCGACGAGCGGCGGATCCACCGCGTCCGCCTGGCGCGCGTGGGGGAGATTAGATGACCTCCGTACAGTCTGAACCGGGCCCGCTGGAAAACCCCGAACACCGCGCCGGCTTCGTGGCGGTGGTCGGGCTGCCGGGCGCCGGGAAATCAACCATCCTGAACCGTCTGGTCGGGGAACGGCTGGCGGGCGGTCCACAAGAAGCCCCAGACCACCCGGCGCCGCATCCTCGGCGTCGCCCGCCGCCCGGGGTTGGAACTGATCCTGCTGGACACCCCGGGAATCCACCGGCCCCGGACCGGCCTCGGCCGGGCGATGATGCGGACGGTGACCCAGAGTCTCGGGGGAGCGGACGTGGCGCTCGCGGTCGTGGATGGAACGCGGGGTCTCTCCGACGCCGACCGGGATCTCCTTCGCCGGCTGGAGAGCTTTCCCGGTCCCCGGGTGATCGGCATCAACAAGATCGACGCGGCGCCCCGTCTCCGGCGCGGGGAACTCGAAGCGTTCTACCGGGAGCAACAGTTGGGTCCGGTGGTGGCGTTCTCGGCGCGCACCGGAACGAACGTGGAAGACCCCGAAGACCGGGGGCAGGGGGACAGCGCGGCCGACTCGCTGGTCGGAACGCTTACGGCGCATCTTCCCTTCAGTCCTCCCCTCTATCCCGACGGCCAGATCACCGATCTTCCGGAAGCTTTCTTCGCGTCGGAGATCGTCCGCGAGCGGATGCTCGAGAACCTCCATCAGGAGGTCCCGCACGCCGCCGCGGTCCGGATCGAGGAGTACGACGATTCCGGCCCCCTGGTCCGCATCGCGGCCTCGCTGCTCCTGGATCGGGACTCCCAGAAGGGGATCGTGATCGGCCGGGGAGGCCAGATGCTGAAGCGAATTGGCACCGAGGCGCGCGGGCGTATCGAAAAGCGGGCTCGGCCGTCAGGTTTTTCTCGATCTGCAGGTGAAAGTCCGGGCGAAATGGCGGGACAATCCTGGAATTCTGCGTGACCTGGGTATCTGAATAACCTTGACTGGAAGGTGGGTTCGGCCTACGCTTCCGCCCTTCGGACCAGCCGTCGGCGGCGGCTTTTTCCAGAATCGAGGCTCTTCTCCGTGTTGAACATCAGGCTTGCCCGCACCGGTCGGAAGCGCGACGCCCATTTCCGGGTGGTCGTGTCGGATTCGGTGCATGGACGGGTCGGTCGCATTGTCGAGACGCTTGGCCACTACCACCCGCGCATGCCCAACGATGCGGAAGGCCGGCTGCTCATCAAGGCCGACCGCGCCCGCTACTGGCTTGGGCACGGGGCGCAGCCGAGTCTCACGGTCAAGAGCTTTTTGAAGAAGGTGCTCGCCGAGCCCGCCCCATCCGAAGAAAACCCAGCCAAAGAAGACCCAGCCAAAGAAGACCCAGCCAAGGAAAACCCAGCCGAAGAAGACCAAACCGAAGGAAGCGGGTCCGGAGAGTCCGGATCCAACGGAACCGAATAACCGTTCCGCGGCCGGAAGCGGCGCCTGCGGCCGGCAGCCCTGAATCCTTCCGGGATTCAGACTGACGGCTTCGGTAGTGCCGTTCCCCGTGCGGGGTCCTTCGCCGCCCGCAGATCACCAAAATACAAATCACAGGCAGCCCCGCACGACTCAATCCGAAAAGGCGAGCGTGACCAGGACACATTTGCGATCATGGCTTCCGGCACATCGTCATCCGAGCCCGAGCCCGAGGTGCGGGCAGCTATCCCGGATTCCCGGGAGGGCGGAATCCGGGATGCAGGAGATGACGCCACCACCGACGTTGTAGTCGGGCAGGTCGTCCGGCCGTTCGGCCGGCGCGGGGAAGTCTTCGTCCAGCCGCTGACCGACGATCCCGGCCGTTTCCTCGAAATCGCAAACGCCGAAGTCGGTCCCTCGGGACGGCCGGGAACCCGGCGGTCCTCGATTCGGTGCGCATCCACAAGGGACGTCCGGTGATCCTGTTCGAAGGGATGAGCGACATCTCCTCCGCCGAAACTCTCCGGGGGATGGAAGTCCGCATCCCTGATGCCGAGCGGGCGCCCCTCCCGGAGGGCCGCTACTACTCCGACCAGCTCGTCGGCTGCAAAGCCGAAAGCGAGGAAGGAGTCCACCTCGGCGAGATCGTGGACACCCTCGACACCGCCGGCCCCACCCTCCTCGTCCTGCGCGGCCCCGACGGTTCGGAAGACCTCATCCCCTTCGTCGGAGCCCTCTGCGTCCTGGTCGAACCGCCCACCGGAAAAACAACCGGGCGGGTGGTTCTCAACATCCCTCAGGGACTCTTGGGGCTCAACAACCCGACCGACAGCAATGCGCGTTGACATCCTGAGCCTGCTGCCCGGCATGTTCCGGGAGGTCTTCGACCACGGGATCGTGCGGCGGGCGCGGCAGGCCGGTCTCCTGCACATCGAAACCCACGCGCTGACGAACTGGACCGAGGGCCGCTTCCAGCGGGCCGACGATGCCCCCTACGGTGGCGGGCCGGGAATGGTGATGCGCGTCGAACCGCTCGTCGAGGCGGTGGAGCGATCGGCGCGCTCGCCTCGGAAGAGCCCCGGGTCATCCTGTTCTCGCCGCGCGGCCGAAGGCTCGACCAGGACCTGGTGGCCGACCTCGCACGGGAGCCGCGGCTGCTGCTGGTCGCCGGGCGGTACGAAGGCGTGGACGAACGCTTTGCCGCGCTGACCGAAGCGGAGGAGGTCTCGGTTGGAGACTACGTCCTCTCGGGCGGGGAGATTCCGGCAATGGTCGTCGTGGACGCCGTGGCCCGCCTGATCCCCGGGGCCGTGGGCGACTCCGAATCCGTTGTCGACGAGTCGTTCGTCACGGGTTTGCTGGAACACGCCCATTACACCCGTCCCCCGGTCTTCCGGGGCAGGGAAGTGCCTCCGGTGCTCCTTTCGGGGAACCACGAGGCGGTTCGCCAGTTCCGCCGCGAACAGTCCGTAGAGCTGACCAGAAGCCGCCGCCCCGACCTGTTCCGGGCGTTTGCCGGAGAAAGAGACGCGGCCCGGAAGTCGAATCCAGATACGAAGGAGAAACCATCATGAGTGTGAGCGAGCAACCGACCGCGGACGGACCCGAAGAGAGCGCCCTGGCGGTCTCCGCGGAAGATCAGCCCTCCCGGGTCAAACCGGCATCCGAAGTCATCCGGGAACTGGAGGCCGCCGATCTGAAGGCGGACCGGCCGGACCTCCATCCGGGAGATGCGGTTCGGGTCCACGCGACGATCCGTGAAGGGGACCGGGAGCGGATCCAGATTTTCGAGGGAATCCTGATCGCGATGAAGCACGGTGGAAACCGCCGCACGATCACGGTCCGCAAGACCTCCTTCGGGGTCGCCGTCGAGCGGATCTTCCCGCTCCATTCGCCCCTGGTGGCGAAGGTGGAGGTCCTCCGTTCGCACCATGTGCGGCGCGCCAAGCTCTATTTCCTGCGCGAGCGCAAGGGAAAGGCAGCCCGGCTGCGCGAGAAACGGCGCTGATTGGAGATATCTCTCTAACGGCGTGGTGGCGCGGGAGCGCCGGTCTCCAGACCGGCATCGCCCGCCAGAGGCGGGCGAAACGCGCAGTCCCGAGCATCTCGGATCGCCCGAACGCCCCGTCTACTGCGCGATCTCCGCGGTTCGCGGCCTCGCCGTGGAACACCTCGGGGAGCTTCAGCGACTCGGGGTGGATTTTTTTCAGTTGCGCGACCGGGAGATCTCCGATCGCGAGTTCGAGGGATTTCTCGAAAACCTCGCGTCGCAGGCGCCGGAAGTCCTCTCGCGGGTCATCGTGAACGATCGGCTGGCGCTCGCGGCCACGTTCCCGGTAGCCGGTGTCCATCTGCCGGAGGCCGGCCTCCCCGTTGCCGTCGTCCGTTCCCGCTTTCCGCGCGGCCGGCTGCTGGTTGGCCGTTCGGTTCACGCACTTGACACGGCGGTTGCCGCGGAACGGGACGGGGCCGACTACGTGATTCTGGGGCCGCTCGCGCCCACCGGCGGGAAACGCCCCTTGCCGCTGGAAGTCTTCCGGGAGGCCTGCCGCCGGCTCCGGATTCCCGTCTGGGTCGTCGGGGGGCTGACGCCGGAGAGCATCGATCGGCTCCGCGGCGTCGGCGCCTCCGGGTTGGCGGCGATCCGCTCTTTCCGTGACACGCAACAGGCAACCTCGTTCGTTGCCGCGGGTTCGCGCCAAGTAAACTGACAGTTTCCCCTTCATGACCACTCGCGTGGCATGGCTTTCGGCTCTGATCGGGCTTGCGGTTGCGTCTCCGCTTTCCGCCCAGACGGAAACCGATGCCCAGCTCGAACGTGCCGCGGAACGACGTTTCCGGAGTGCGGAGCAGTTCTATGCGGGAGAGCGTTACGGCCAGGCGCTCCGCGATTTCGAAGCCATCCTGGACACCATGCCCGGGAGTCGGCTCGCCGATGACGCGGCCCTGCGAATTGCCCGGCACCGTTTCGAGGTCGAGGGCGACCCGGTCGCCGCGGAGGAGATGGTGGACCGTCTCTTTCGCGCGTATCCGGCGGGCGACTCGATCCCCGGAGCCCACCTGCTGCTCGGACGGATTGCGATCACGAGCCTGCCGCCGCGTCCCGAAGACGCGCTGGCCGAGTTCGAACGGGTCTTGACCGCCGCCGGATCTTCGGGCTCTCCCTGGTCCTTCGCGGCGCTCACCGGGATCGCCGACATCGCGTCCGATTTCATGGACGACCGGACGGTGGCGGGGGCCCTGCTCTCCGCACTCCACGAGACCCGCGACGCTCCGGTATCCGAAGCCGAGCGGTTCCGCGCCCGCTTGCTGCTTGCCCGCGCCCTCGCGCGGCTCGGCGAAGCGGATGCGGCCTTCACCGAGGTGGAGGAACTCCGCGTGGACCTCCTGCGCGCGATCCGGGACGATCCGTCGGGCGAGGCGAATGGGGACTTCTCTCCCCGCCGGCTGCCGAAGACGCCCGCGCCCTCGCGACGCTCATCTCCCGCTACCGGTCGCCGGGCGGCCCTTCCTGGCGTTTCACCGGTGCGATCCAGCCGCCGCAGCCGCTCGACCGGCCGCGCCGGGTGCGGATCGCAGGGGGCCGGATCCACGTTCTCGACCGGGACACCGACGAGTTGCAGACGTTTTCGCGCGCCGGGGAATTCGAAGGTGCGATCGGGGTTGAAAACCCCTGGGATCTGGCCTACGCGGATGCCGGGGTGGGGAACGGCGGGTTGCAGATTCCGGTGGTGGCAACCGAAGAAGCCCTGGTGGTGGGCGGAAATCTCCTGACCCTGCGGATCACGAACGGCTCCGAGCAGCTCCGGCGGATTCGCGCGATCACGGTCACCCCCGAGGGGTACTGGATCTGGGATGACCGGGAGAAGAGCGGTGTTCCGGTTCGCCCGTTCCGGCCTCCATCTCGGCCGGGTGCCGCATCCCCGTCTTGACGAGGTGCATCGGATCGAGCGGCACCCCGCCGGACACCTGGTCGTCGTCGAGGAGCGTCAGGGAGTTCTCGCTTTCGATGCGGAGGGTCGGCGGATCTTCCACCTCACCCGGGAGTCCGGTTTCCGGAACCCGTGGACGCGGTCTTCGACGGGTTGGGGAACCTCTTCGTTCTGGACCGGGATGGTCCGACGCTCGCCGTCTTCGACCGGGACTTCGCTCCGCTCGTCACCCTCAGGGGAGGAGAGTGGTCGGGCGGTGCGGTCCGCCGGCCGGTATCTCTCGACGTGGGGCCCGATGGAGGGCTCTACGTCCTGGACGAATCCACGCACGCGGTGGCGGTGTTCCGGTGAACGCACGGTGAGGTCTTTCAAGAACCCCGTGTCGGCGGGGATCATCCTGGTCCTGCTGGCGGGGGCGCTGGCGCCCGCCGGGATCCCGGCGGGCGCCGCGCCGCAGACGATGGCCTCTCAGGATCAGGTCGCCATGGCCGCCGAACTGCGGGCCCTGCGTCCGCAGACCTCAGATCCCGACCTGGCCGGGGAGGCGGTCCTCGCGCTGACCGTGATCCTCGACGAACTCGATGCGGCTCGCGACGCGCAGGGGCTCCTGCCGGAGGTCGAGACGGAGTTCTTCCTGAGGGCGCTCGAGTACCGGGCCCGAGCCCATGTGACTCGGGAATCCCGGGAGCGGGCCGCGGACGACCTGCGTCTGCTCATCCTGGCCGATCCGACGTGGCGCCTCGATCTGCCCGGACTTTCTCCGACGGCGGTGGATCTGTTCGAACAGCAGCGGAGTGAGCTGCTCGCCTATCTGAGCGTCCTTACCGAGCCGGCCGGCGTAACCGTGTTCATCGAAGATGAAGCGGTCGGCGTCACACCCCTCACCGGCCGGCCGGTATTCGCCGGACTCGTCACGATTCGGCTGCAGCGGCCCGGATACGCCGTGTACACCGAACCGCGCCGGGAAGTGCTGGCGGGCGAAATGATCTCGATCGAGCACGAGCTGGAGCGCAGCCGTCCGGTGCTTTCCGTGGTCACCTCGCCGGCGGGCGTCACCGTGCGCGTCGGAGGCCGCGTGGCGGGAGTGACTGGCGGCAGTCTTCCGGAGGATCTCCGTCCGCTGGTCCCGCCGCGCTTCGCCCGCGACGAATTCTCCGCGCCGCTTCAACTCGGAAACCTGGAAACGGGGGCCAACGAAATCACCCTGGAGGCGCCTTGCCGGACTCCTTCGCGGTTCACGTTTCATGCCGACGAAGCCCGCGACTATCTGCCCCGCTTCCTGAGGCTCCGGCCGTCCACGGGCGGGCTCAGGATCGAGAGCGAACCGAGTGGCGGAAGGGTCGTGCTCGACGGCGAGGAACGAGGGGTGGCGCCGGTCTCATTCTCGGCGATGTGCTCCGGAGAGCACGAGGTCGAGATTTACCACCCCGCCGGCCGCTGCGCCCGCGCCTTCACCGTCTCGCGCGGTTCGCGGACGGCAATATCGTGCGAGCTGCTGCCGGTTCTCGCGGTGACCCCGAGCGGGCCGGACGGAGCGTCGGAAGCGGACCGGGAGGTCAGCCGCGTCCTGCGGGCGAGGGAGGACTACTTCGTCGTGGACGCGCTGGATGAGCACGAGGTCCAGGCGCGGGTCCGGATCCGGCTCCCCGAACCCGGCAGCGGGCCTGCCCGGGTCGAGTTCCTCGCCGCGGGTTCCCGGGTGCCGGACGTGGTCCCGTTCGATCGCTTCTCCCCCGCGAGCGCGGGCGCCGCCACGGAGCGGCTCCTGACGCCACCCATGCGGCGGCGGTCCTGGCTCGGGCTGACCGCGGTGGCGCTCGGGAGTTCCGGCGAGGAGGGAGGGGCCAGGGGGCTCCAGGTCGCGAGCGTGCACCCGGCAGGACCCGCCGTGCTCGCCGGGATGGAACCGGGAGACGAGCTCCGCGAAATCGAGGGCCGCCTCCTGTCCGACGAACTCGCGCTCGCGGAGCTCGTCGCCATCGAGTCGCCGGACACCACGATCGACCTCGTCGTGCGGCGCGAGGGAGCCGAGCGGCAACTGCGCCTGGTGCTCTCCGAGACGCCGGTTCTGCCTTCGCTTTCCGCGGGACAGTGCAATCGGCGCCTGGTGGAACTCGAGGCCGATTTCGCGCGAGGCCGGGGCGATGCGACCCGGCAGCTCGAGGCCGGCATCTGCTGGATCCTGCTGGGGGATCCCGAGAGGGCGCTGGTCCGGTATCTGAACGAAGTGCGGGCCCCCACCGGCCCGGGTATCGGCGACGGAACGGTCCTCTACTACCGGGCGCTCGCCCTCGACGTGCTCGGGGAACGCGCGCGGGCCGCGCAGATGTTCCAGGCCGCCGCCGAGGTGACCGGGGCCACGCTCGTGACTCACGACGGCCCGCTGCTCGCGCCCCTCGCTCTCCGGCGGCTGAGAATGGTGCAGTGACCCCTGACTCGGGTTCGACTCCTGCGCTCTACGAACTCGTGGTGGAGAACGTCCGGTCTGGCGACTCCCCCGGGGACCGCCAGCCGCCGCCGGCCCGCTACGAGATTCAGAACCGGGAAACCACCATTGGCAGATCTCCCGGGTGCACCATCCGGCTCGACGACATGTTCGTGAGCCGAAGACACGCGCGGCTCGTGCTCCGCGACCTCGAACT